TAATTGAATTGAAAAGACGCTGGCTTGTAAACGTGAGCTACGCGATCTTTTGACGTTTGAAAAAAGTAAAGCCCATGACACTATATTCATATGACATGCTAAAATGTATGCCAATGTACCTGGAATGAAGATGCACGCGTGTATTCCCTAGTGTAACCATGATGACAGATTTTACGATAGTAGTAAAATCTAGGACCCCGAGAGCAAAATTTCCAAAATAACATAATGCTGCTTTAAGCTCATTTCCCCCAAGATTTGCATAACCACAAAATGTATCTGTTTTTTGTTTTTTTTTCTCAATTTGATTCTCATGACTGTAATTCAGTTTTTTAACAATATAAAACATAAACATTTATTTATAGGTCATTTACTAAATGGCAAGCAAATGTCCAAGCATTAAGTTTGTGAGATCTGTTTGTCAGTCTGCATTGCTGGTGGACATTTTTCATTGACTCTTTCAGAACTTGTCTTGTGTTTTACTGTTTGAATTCTGTTTCTTGTGTTGAGTCATTGAATTATATACTCAACCAGTTCCATTTAAAGATGGCATGAAAAGGAAGTTATGATAGACGTTTCTTTCTATTGTGACGCATATTCGAGTGAAACGGCTTCTTGAACAAGACAAATTGTAGGATATGATTTGATTTTATCCATGGGGAAGGAATTGGATGATTGGGTGGTTGTGGTTTGCTATTGGTTAATTTGATGTCAGTAACAGAGGGGAAGTTATTTTCTTTAAATATTATGAGGAACATAAATAATTGGGGGGGGGGGAAAGATATGCACAGATAAATCTTTTATAATAAATATTGTTGTTGTTTTTTAAAAAAAAGAAAAAAAACATTTGAATTGTCCATTTAGATTTTATAGTCATTAAAACACTGATTTATCCAATAAATGAAATACAGAAATGTTGCTCAGAGACGCCATGTTTGATCATTGTTAGCAACTATTTTGACTGCAGCACTTTGGCAAAAAATGTAACTTTTTGTTTAATGTTGTTCTACAGAAATATTGAGGTTGCAAGTGTGTTCTTCTGAATATCAGCATTGCTGTAATTCAGCCACAGGTAGCTGTTCTGATATTCAGAACAACAACATTGTCTGTGCCATTTTGATTAATTAAATCATTAAGGCTAAAACCTCCAATATCTTAGAAACCTTATAAAGAAATGCATCTGATAATTCAGTTTCTGGAACATCTTTGCATTTGGGGAGCATCTATGCATACAGTATGTTCGGTCTTGAAACAGTAATAGTTAACAGAAGCACATCAAAAGAGTCACCTTCAGATGAAGGTTTCAAGGTTAATTTCAGGAGAATCATGCCGCAGGTTTTGTGTGTTCAGAGAAGAGAGCACATGCATACACACATACACACACACACACACACACACACACTGCTGCTCTCTCTGCATGTGTAAATTGAGAATGTTCTGAGTGTGTGACTGCTTGTAAGAGTGTCTCATGATATCACACAATCATTTAATAAGATCAAAACAAGCCACAGCAACACACACATAATCTATGCAAGGGTTCGAATGCACTGCAAGCATTTCTGTGCCATTAAACTGAATGTGTTATAATTCAAAAGTAAACAGTTTCTAAACTTGGTCAGCAAGAATCTCTTCAAGCTATGAAAGCTTGTTTATTTCCCCCATGGAATACAAATAGAAAAGGTAATTGCAACTTTTTATCTCACAATTCTGCTCCCCCCCCCCCCCTCCTCTATATCTCAGAATTCTGACTCTGAAAATGCAATTACCATTTTTTTTTTATTATTTATTTGTATTACTCCATTGTAGAACAAAGCTTCCAAATCAAACTTTTGCTCTACAGAACTAATTTAGATTTGAATACTACTGATGAATTATGTACAATATAAACTATATGCTGTCTAATATTATAAGTAGCATGTGTAACGGTAAGAAAAAACAAGGACGTGAAGACCATCTCTTTCTGAAGGCAGTCAATAAAGAGCAGAAGCTTGAGTGATGACGGTTCATGACAGGCTGAGAGTGTAAATGTGGTGTGCAACATCTTCCTCACTGTCAAAAACACTTTCATTCAACTGTGTCCGACATTTTGGCATACAAATCAAATGCAACAAGGACGTAAAATGCAATGCATGCACTCCAAACCTCTGCTGTCATCATCAGGGAAACATAATTGTGACTTTGAGCTTGGATTTTTCTGTTACTGAAAATGAAGGCTTTCATATAATAAATAAATATGTACTAAATATATATGTATAACTAAAATATAATCCTATAAAATAATATTTTTGTTAGAGCTAACTAGACAATATCAATACTATTTCTCACAATAAATGCTGTTCAACCTCTTTTTCATCCCAGGTACATTTTCATAATTGACACCACATTTTTTATTTATTTTATTTATATATATATATCTGTATATGTGTGAAGAGTTCAGATGCAAAAGCCTCTAAATGCAATTTGAAATGTTCTTCTTTAATGATGATTTTTATCAAACTTGTATATCTAAGTTCAGTAATTTCACTTAAATAACAATTAATAGGTAATTATCATTCCATTTAAGTGAAATCACTGAACCTAAATATACAAGCTTGATAAAAATGATCATTCTAGAAGAAAATTTCAAATGGCACTTAGAGGCTTTTGCATCTGAACTCTTCATATATATATATATATATATATATATATATATATATATAAAACCCTATCACACTAGGTTTATATTTATATATATATATAACCTATATCGAACCCTTTACACACTAGGGCTGTGCAAAAATTAATTGCGATTAATCGCATACAAAATAAAAGTCTGTGTTTACATAATATATTTGTGTGTGCTGTATATAATTATTTTGTATATAAATACACACACACACGCATGTATATATTTAAGAAAATGTGTTATTCATATATAAAATATTTATATTTATATAATATAGATTATGTATGTATATATATATATATATATATATATGTATGTATATATATATATATATATATATATATATATATATACCGAATTTAAGCGCAAATAATTCTTAAATATATACATGCATGCATAGGTATTTATATATATACAAAATAATTATATACAGCACACACAAATATACTGTATTATGTAAACACAGACTTTTATTTTGGATGCGATTAATCACAATTAATTTTTGCACAGCCCTAATACACACACACACACACACACACACACATTAGCACACTTTGTAAGCTATTTGACTTGTTTTCCTTTAGTGACCACCTAATGCATCTTCTGCGTATTACTGTGCAGAAGTCAATGTGTTTCCCACGGTCTTAGTGAAGATGTTTATGAAAGTTGTATTTCTTTAAAAAGCTTTTAATTAAATGGCGAAAGGAATGTCACACATTGAGTACCATTCACTCTGTAATTACCGCCAGCCCAAGCGACTACATTCTTGCTTTCAGTAAGAAGCCATGAACTTTCCCTCCACTAACTTCACTAGATGCTTTCCAATTAAAGAGGACATTCTAAACTTTCTGGTTCCACCAATAACTCAAGCAAACACCATTGAAGCTTATTCTGTCTGTGTGCCGCCCACAGACACTAAACAACTCTAACTAAATCAAAGGCAATGTTTCCAACTGCAGCACTAAAATGTTATTAGTAAATGTGCTAGTTTAAAGAAGGAGGGGCGAATCTCATGAAAACATGTCCTATATCTCACCCTAAAATCAAAAGAAATAAAAGTATCATATTTTGCATGACAAAAATAAATACATGTATTGTTTTGCATTGTGACATTATGCTACATTTAAACAGTATATATACAGTACATTAATCTGTTGATTCTCATTAGGTTTTTGTTCCAATAATTTGTATATGAAATACAGTATACATTTAAAAAGTAACAACAAATAATATGATGTACTGAATAAATACTTTGCAATATCTAGTACTCTAGAATTAAACTTCTCATTATATAGTAATGAGACTTTTTAAATTTTTACATTATGGAAATGAAATGTCACAATGCAAAACAATCTTTGTCCTAAAAATAGGCTTATTCCAATAAACACCATGACTGTGGTGTTTTTCTCTTGCTCTGGCACATTTCCTGTAGAAACAGGAAGTTGGGGCAGAACATATACAAATATGAAAGGGTTATTTTCCTTTATATACATGAAAGGGTTTTATAACATTTTGTTTATGTTAAAGCTGTGATGACCATCATGAATTTGTCAACTTCTAGGAGTAGGCTAGCAAGTTGAAAATAATAATCGAACTAATAATTTAATCACAACACGTTAACTAGGGTTGGGTATCGAGAATCGAGTATCAATTGGAACCGGGACTAACTTTTCGTTTTTCCCGGAATCGTTCAAAAGTTAAAATTTCGATTCCTAGTTTTGATATTCACAGTCCGCCGTCCGGAAGAAGAAACCGCTGAACAACACCAACGAAGAAGCGTCTACCGGAAGTGTTGGCATAACCGTGCGAGTCGAACATTAGTAGCTTACGTCAGCGGTCCAAAGTGTGGCTTCACTTTTCTAAAAATCACGAAATCTCGGCAAAATGCAAAATTTGTGACAGAAGGAGTATTTGTGACAGGAGTATTTCCTTCAGAAAGGATTATTTCCTTCAGAAAGACCGTTGGTTAGCAAGGTTAGCTAAACTTTTTTGACCCTGCCTCTTAAAAGAATCGGAATCGAGAATCGTTAGGAACCGGAATCGAAACAAGGAATCGGAATCAGAATCGTTCAAATTCAAACGATACCCAACCCTAACGTTAACAAACCTTGACAGCAACATAGTGTGAGATCAAATCTGGGCCGTGTGGAATCCATGTGTACCAGATGTGGGCCGGATCTCGTATGGAACTAATGCTATTGTCTGGGACATTGATTCCATAGGGTCTTTCTGGTTATTTTCTTTTAATTTTGCTATGCAATACATTTTTTTTTAATTCATTCTGAGAAAATGTTTCAAGATAAATAACAAAAATTCAAGCAAACGTTTTAGCTCTTACCTAGCCTGTTGTCCAGTACTCCAAAATCCAGGGAATATTTGACCACGTGGTAGTTATTCCACACATAAAGCAGATTATCTCTGGGATTATAATCCACGGCGGCGATGTACTGGTACGAGTTTGGGAAAAAGATGTCCAGATAGCCATCTTTGCTCAGCTCCGTGTTGTAGATGTAGTCGATTTTATTCCCAGTGGATTCGCTGTCGTCGTCTTCGTAGACGCTCTTGACCACGTACAAGATTCCACAGATCATGAAAGCGTTGGAAGCGGAGCGTTTGTCGTAGGCCGTATCCCATGTTCCCTCCACCCGCAGAGTGTACGGGTTCAGCTGGCTGATCACAATCCGTCCGTTGTTTTGTTCCGTGGCATAAATCACCCAAAGTCCGTTCTCGTCCACTGCCAAATCGATATCTGACTTGCCGCCCCAACGGTATGGAGACGTATCGTGGTAGTTGGCGCTGGCGATGATGGCCTCGCCGCTCTTGATGCGAGTGCGCAGATCGAACTTGACGATATTCCGCGTGCGCTCCTTGTTGAAGAACAGCGCGCCGTCGTAGACGACGAACCCGGTGCCGTCCACCCGATGGGGAAGTTTGTAGGTGGTCGTGGGTCGGCCTGCAACGAAGTCCTCTTTGCTGGAGTATTCGGTGAGGGTGTCTGTGCGATACGGCGTCCAGGGCATGTAATAGATCTTATCCGAGGCCTGAAGGGGGTCTTTACACCAAGCTCCCGACTGGTGGTCCGATTCAAACAGATGCTCGCTCTGATAAACGCCACGCAAGAGCCCTGGGCACAAGAAAACTGCAAACAAACAGAGAGAGAAAGACAAGTGAGGGTGGGTTTGAAAGCATCAAGCCTCTTCACTTCATGACCATTTTCATTTATCTGGATGGATTAGATGGAGAATATCTCACTGTGCCGTGTACACAATGGCATGATAAGTTAGAAATGTGTTGTTAAGTAGACACATTTGGGCTGCTTTCAATGATCCATTACATTATATAAAAGGAACCCGATAAACAGATTATGGCAAGTTATGAGAATGACAATCCTTCACAGTTCTTAAACATAAACGCAGCTCTCACAAATCGCCGATGCTCTCTTGTATTTTTTACTCGACAAGATTCCTCCATATCACTTTCACTAGACATTGACTGGTACTCTCACAACGTGACACATTACATCTGAAGCATATTGTTGTATGATTGTATCTTATTCTCACCAAGAAGTGTTCATTTAGATAAGATGTTGTTTGACTGACTGATAAAAAATAACACATATATAGACTTTTTTGTTGCTATTTGAATTTGAATTTATAATATGCTTTTTAGTTAAATTTAGATTCTTCTAATATATCCCATGGGTTGATTTTCAGTAAAACAATATAAAAAAAATAAAAAAAATATCACACTAAAACGGTCTTGTTATGATTTTTATGTCAACTGTCTTTTATGTAGATTTTATTGCTTTGCCCTTTACTTTTTAAATGCTATTCTATAAATAAAAAAAATAATAAAAAACACTATAAAGATACAATAAATATGTCATTTTTTTTTACCAAATTATGCAAGGGGGGTGACAATCTATTTTAAATCTAACCCATGAACTCAATTGTGTAAAATAAACCATTGCAATATATAAAAAAATATTCTATGAGAAGATTATAATTAACATATAACTATTGTTTAAAATATTGTGAGATAAAATAATATCTCACAATATTTCAGTTTTCACTCTATTTCTGATCAAGTAAGTGAGCAGATACGACTTCTTTCTGAAATGTAAACTTGTAAACTTAAAAAGTAAGAAATTCAAGTAATGAATGAAAAGCTGCTTCATGAAGACTTGGAATACAGACTAATTTTGATGATATATTTTGGGGGGGTTTTCTGTTATTTTTGAAGCTTGCCACCCATACACTGTAACAAAAATGGTTGTTTCAACTAAAATAAATAAGTGTTTGTGCTGTCTTAAAAATTTAAGTGAAGTCAACTCAAATATCCAAGTTGTCACATAGTACAGATTTCAATTTGACTAAACTAAAAATTTTAAGGGACCACAATTTTGAAACTATTGTTTGATCATTCTTCAGAATTTCTTCTTTTTTGTTCCACAGGAAGCAAGAAATTCACAAGGATTTGAAAATGATTTTCGTTTCTTGGTGACCTAGTAAACTTGGGGTACGTTTACATGACAACGATGTACTTTTTATCCCATTTCATTTTTTTTTTCCTTTTAACGTTGACTAACGAAAATGATCCCATTCAAACAGATCCACGAAAACTATTAACAGTGCTTTATTCTGCATGCCAAACCATAGTCGATGTCACTTTGTAAAAAAAATGGTAACACTTTACTTGAAGGGGTGTGCATAAGACCAACATGACACCTTCATAATCATGACATGGCATAAGTTATGAATATGAAGGAAGTTTTATGCATGTTTGTGACAACTGTCATTAAGTGTCATTCACTCAGCTATGACATTTTGAATGCAAATATGACATTGTTTAATATGTGTTTGTTATGACCTTGACATAAACCATAACATCATAACCTGCAGTGTCTTTGTCGTGACAACTTGACATAAAATTAAGCGACAACACAACCTGTCATAAAGATGATATAGCAGAACAATTATCTAACTTAAGAAACCACTTAGCTTTACATTATCATTATTATAACTTTTTAATGACAAATTGAATTAGTACCACTGTAGTTGAGGTCACGAAAAATATTCATGACACAGCTATAATGGCCTCATGACAGCCAATGTCAAAGCCAACTGCATGACAGTTTCACTTAATTTTATGTCAAGTTGTCATGACAAGGACACTGACAGGTTATGATATTATGGTTTGTCAAGATGTCATAACAAAGACATCTCAAACAATGTCATATTTGCATTGAAAATGTCATAACTGAGTGAAAGACACTTAAAGGGTTAGTTCACCCAAAAATGAAAATTAAGTCATTAATTACTCACCCCCATGCTGTACCAACCCCGTAAGACCTTCGTTCGTCTTCGGAACACAAATGAAGATATTTTTGATTAAATTTGAGAGCTGTATAACTACCACATTGGCTCCTAAGGGACTGCCTCTTGACGGCCCAAAAAGTCAATGAAGAAAATGTTTAAATATCCCAAGTGACTACCGTGGCTCAACTATATGTTTATCAAGCGACGCGAATACTTTTTGTGCGAAAAAACAAACAAAAATAACGAGTTTATTCGACTATTTTTTTCTTCCTTGTAGGCCAGAACGAGACTTCCTTATAGATTTCCACGACGCATGCGCGAGAATTGCGATCTGAAGTAGTGTAAGCTGTGTACGCAGATCGCAAATCTCGCGCATGCGTCGTGGAAATCTATAAGGAAGTCTCGTTCTGGCCTACAAGGAAGAAAAAAATAGTCGAATAAACTCGTTATTTTTGTTTGTTTTTTTCGCACAAAAGTATTCGCGTCGCTTGATAAACATATAGTTGAGCCACGGTAGTCACTTGGGATATTTAAACATTTTCTTCATTGACTTTTTGGGCCGTCAAGAGGCAGTCCCTTAGGAGCCAATGTGGTAGTTATACAGCTCTCAAATTTAATCAAAAATATCTTCATTTGTGTTCCGAAGACGAACGAAGGTCTTACGGGGTTGGTACAGCATGGGGGTGAGTAATTAATGACTTAATTTTCATTTTTGGGTGAACTAACCCTTTAATGACAGTTGTCTTAAACATGCATAAACCCTACTTCATATTCAAGACATATGTCATGTCATGGTTATGAAGGTGTCATGTCAGTCTTATGCACACCCCTTCAAGTAAAGTGTAATGAGCCTATAGACGCTTCAAGCAGTGACAACATAAACAAACAGTACTGCGCATGTGCATTATTCTGGCCCAAACTTAACTTCCGGCAGACTTGCGGAGACAATCCATAACAAGTAAATAACCTAGTAGCTGGTATTTCTTGCCAGTCAAAGAAAATAAATTTTACCTGGCCAAACTGAAATGTGACACTACCAGACCCGTTGAACAAAAATTGGAGACGAGATGTTTTTCTACCGACGTGTCTGATTTACCGCAGTGTTAAAAAAAAAAAAAAAAAACTGTGGCGAGCGCAACGGGGTTTGATAAGGTTAACATAGCTCTCCTTATTAGCTAGGCTTCTTGCTTGCTAACCTTTTTTTAAGGTGGGTCTCCACTCTCCACATTGACAGCATGTTGGATGGATCTGTGCAGCGCTGTTTATGATACTAACCATTCAATACACAGACTGGTCCGCTGTCAATGTGTTTGCGAGAGCGAGAGAGAGAGAGAGAGAGAGAGAGAGAGAGAGAGAGAGAGAGAGAGAGAGAGAGGGAGAGGGAGAGGGAGAGGGAGAGAGAGAGAGAGAGAGAGAGAGAGAGAGAGAGAGAGAGAGAGAGAGCGAGCGAATATGCGCTGCACGCAACAACTCTGCAGTCAATTACAACTTTCCCCATCTTAAATTGTTAAAAACATGAAAATCAATATGTGGCGGTCAGCGCTGATAATGTGGTGGGCTGCCACTAATAAATGTATGGGAAACACAAACACTGTACCGCTTATCATTCAGATAAACATAGATAGGCTATTTTAATACCGCCGTCTCCCTCATAGGAAACCTTTGACATTTTTATTTTTAAAAATTGTGCTTGCTCCCTAGGTCAGGTTGCACCCCACAGCTCAACAACCTGCTCATCACCTTAACTTTCACTGCATTTGTAGTCAATGCCATATTATCCAGTAAACACTAATAAACGAACAGAACGGAAGTTAACTTTGGGCCAGCTCATCACCATGGCAACGCGTCTCATGAAAGCGTCTATAGACTAAAGTAATATGTGCAAGACGTCAACGGTTTCACTAATTTGCGTTTTTTTTTTTTTTTTTAGTTTACACGACGACATTAACGGTATCGTTTTCAAAAACGTACACTTTGAAACCAATTTTCAAAAGTTTGCATTTCCAGGCCCCCCAAACACCATTGTCATGTAAATAAACGGCCAAAACGCATAATACGTTTTCCGTTTTTAGTTAAAACGGTGTTTTGTAAACGGCCCCTTGCTCCTGGGGGTCCACTACATAGATATCCATATAAGGCTAGATGTCTCGTCCACGCTGCTGGCCAATGGAGGTCGACGTCTGCATCTGGCGGCCATCTTGTCACAGGCAGTTCGCTCACTCTTAACATTGTGTTTCAATCGTCCATGCACTTTTTAAAGAACCATAACTTGCTCAATTTTCTACCGATTTTCAAACGGTTTGGTTTGTTCTAAACATCAGAGATGTAGTTATGACACGGCATACTTATGAATATTAAGTGTAAAAATAAACAATCATCCAGAATTATAGCCACGTTAATTACGTTTGTAAGAAACCAAACCATTTGAAAATCCGTCAAGATTTCAACAAGATTAGAGTATTTGTGTTCGTGCTGACCACTCATCTTACATCAGCTTGTCTGTGACAAGATGGCTGACGGTGATAACGATAAACACTCCATCGTAAGACATCTAGCCTTATAGACCCTTTTACAGTTTTACGTTTTTTTGTGGGCGGAGCTTAGGTGGAGGCAGAAAGATCCATTTGGCCGCTTCACTAACGCTAGTTAGCAAGGATTGTTAGCTTGTTTTTTAACAATGACTGGAGAAAATCCGATATTATCTTAATGTGTAAGGTCACTCAGTGTCCAGGACCGCGATTGTTATTTTCAAAAGTTATTTTTAACCGACGGAACCAGATTGGCCGACCCGTAGCCGGCTACACGCTCACTCAATGCATGG